CCCGAGCTAAGAAAGTAGGTGCTTTCAGTGATTTGACGAGTGAAATGACACTAAGGTGGCTTAATAATGTTCTTCTTTGTTTCAGGAAGCTGAGAGTAAGAGTGAAGAATCAACTACCAGCGGTGTCTCTAAGTCTGGCAAACGGAATGTGAAACCTGTAGATCCAGATCCTCATGGGCAAAAGTTAATTCAGGTTGGTTGTTTTACTTCATTCGTAAGATGTATTGTGGTCTTCACCAGAATTCTGTATTATGAGCATTAACTTTATCAGAGGCTTACTGAACAACTCAATCTGTACAGGTTGAAGAGCCAATGGCAGAGGCTTCCAAGTACTTGAGGCTACTCCAGAAGCATTCACCTAATTCTCTGGAGACTCATCTACTTTCTTTTGAGGTTAATATGAGAAAACAAAAGTTTCTGCTTGCATTCCAGGTAACTGATTTTCTTGTCTGGTGATCCTATCTATCATGTTTCTATGATATGCTTTGTTCAAGTAATCTAAGGACTCTGTCGCCTCATTTTTCGTTCTTCAGGCTGTCAAGCAATTGCTTAAGTTGGACGCGGAGAACCCTGATTCACATCGTTCCTTGGTACGAATTCTGTGCTACTTGTGATGTTCTAAGGGTTAATCATGCGAAGGAGAGAAGGGACGATATTGTTTTCCCTTCAAGTGTTATGTGGCTAGACTTTTTTTTTCTTTTTCAATTTGGTGATTTATACTTTTGAAATTGGATGGCAGGTTAAATTCTTTCTCAAGACAGGATCGACAAGTGCTCCAACGACTGAAGCTGAGAAACTTCGTTGGAGTGTCCTAGAGGCTGAGCGCCCATCAATCAGGTGGTCTTTCAAACTATTATCCAATCTTAAAGTTGCTTTTGTATATCAGTTGTGATATAACTTGTCCATTTGTTTCTGTTCTAGTCAATTGCAGAATAAATCACTAACGGAGGCAAACAAAGAGTTTCTTGATAGACACAAAGGTGCAAATACTATTAATAACATGTAGCCTCATGAAGATATTACAGTGTCTGGTAAAAGATGGTAACATTTGCATTTCAATTCTGCAGATTCCTTGGTGCACAGAGCTGCATATGCAGAAATTTTGTACGTTTTAGACCCAAGCAAGAAAGCCGAGGCTATCAAAATAATCGAAGACTCAACCAATAAAGTGGTTCAAACGTAATGCTCTTTCAAACATGTACCTTATGGTTCCTTGCTTTCTTCGTTCTCTTGTTTTTCTCGTATGTTTAACATTGGTTGTCCGTATGCAGAAATGGAGCTCCAGGACCAGCAAGAGAATGGAAACTCGGAGACTGTATAGCAGTTCATAAGCTCCTAGACACAGTTCTCCTTGACTCAGAAGCTGCCTCCAGTAAGCATTAGATATCGCCACTGTGTTGTTTCCGTTATTCAGTAGTAGCTTATCTGCAGCTGCATTTTGATTTATTTCGTTTGGCTGGTCTTGTGAATCCACCACACTTCCCTGATAACAAGGTCCTTAGGTTTAGAAGTATTAAGTTGCTGGAAAATGATAACCCGTGTATAATTGCAGGATGGAAATCACGCTGCGCCGAGTATTTTCCCTGTTCAACTCACTTTGAAGGCAAGCTCAGCTCAGTGATGCCTGATTCAGTGTACAACGCATCTCGGAAGAGCACTGAGAATGGCGACGCACCAAACCATCCAATGGGTCAGACTGAATTGAGCGATGGACAAGTCGAAGCCTTGAAGAGCCTCTCAGTCTCAACCTGAAGAACCTCTTATGTATCCAATAAGAACCAATTCAACCCAAGGAGATCATTTACAAAAGACGGACAGATCCCGTTCTTACAGTCCCGGATCAAACTTGAGATTTGGGATCAAAATATGTTTGGAGTTGTAACATGCCAAATGTGTATAATTTTTTTCTATATAAGGCCTGGGGTTTCAAGTTTGATCAACAAATGCCAATGCCACAGAGAAAGATAGGTTCTTTGTCTCTTTTTTTCGTTTTCTTTCCCTCTTGACACTTTAAAGAGGAATGTTTCGAGCTTTTTTGATGTTGTACCCTTTTAACTTGTTCTTTTTTTCTCCACATTATTTATTTTCCCCTTGACAATATCTGTTTAAGCTTCTTGACATTTCTGGAAAATTTTGATTTCACGAGCCTTCCTTTGTGTTATGTTACATGCTTTTCTTCGTAAATGCGAATCTACTTTCTCTCAAATGCTAGTATATATGTGACACAATTATTTTGAAATTTATTGATTTGGAAAGTTACAACTCTTGAATAAACATCTCAACAACTATACAAGTCTATTATACACAACACAAACTCGTTCTCTGTCTGTTTCCATGAGAGGTCTCAGCTCTTATCTATGAGGAAGCACTGCTGCTTTCTCCGACCTCACTTTTACAGAGCGGGCAAGTCGCATTGATTTTAAGCCATTTGTCTACACAGTCTACATGAAAGACATGTGAGCATGGCAGCTCTCTAACTTCTTCGTCGTCTCCATATCTTGCCAAGCAGATGCAACAGCTCTGCAAAACCAATACATCCAAGAAATGCAGACAATAGTTGAGTAAACATAGAAGATAGGCCAAAAAAGCACATTGTACTCCGATACACAATTCATACTAATTCAAATGAATCCATGGCGAAACTAAAGAGATCTTATCAGTGGCATTTACTTACGGCATCTTCGCCTGATATAAGACGTTTCTTCTCGGATCCCAATAGAAGAAATCCACCTTCACCTTCCTCTGAAGATTCCAAATCATTTCTACTTTTTGACTTGAACTTGTAGACAGGCAGTGCGTTGATCGCCTCGGCAGTGGCTCCTCTAGTTTGTGAGAAGTTTTCTCGAAACCCGAGAACAGAGATTAAGCAAGGCAAACAACAACAGATTGTTGCGCATAGTATGAACGGCATTGCATATCCAATGCAGCTGAAAGTAAGGAACGCGATACATAACCTGCACGTCCCAACCAAACAAAAAACATTGACTATTTAGAGTTTCAATTTCTCCATTAGGACATAAGAGTGAATGAAGTAAAGGGCGCGTACCGGTACAATTTAGGAGAATCAGAAGGAGATGAGTGACCTCCAAATATCCATACATTCCCCACAACAAACCACACCGCAAAGAAACAATCAATTGCCATCTTGAAATGGTCCACCAGCCCGTTGAGTCTGTAAAATCATAAACAATTATGAGTTTCGATTTCTTAGCTAACCAAACCAATTAATTTAAGAAAAGAAATTACATTTACCTTGTTCTTAAGCTTTCCCCAACTACATTGTTCCTAGGTGCTGCTCTCATGTCAGTGCTGTTTTCTTCATCTGGCGCTTGAGCCACTGAGACGGGTGTATATGGTGTGGACTCTGAGAGATTATTATTGCCTTGAGAAGAGCTACTACGCTGCGAAGAGTCTTGCCCTGTACCACGGTTATAAGTCCGAAAACGCCAATAGAGAATAGGGAGAGTAGCTATACAGCCAGAGGTATATCCAACAACCCATGTAAACAATGGCGCTTCTGGATGTTCGTCTTTAGCCAGAACCATAACTACTATAGCTGCAACAATCTGAGCCACAGTGACAACTAACTCAACTGAAATCCAAAGGCCAGAATTCAGTGGACTCCTACTACTACTACGCCGAACATTCCCATCATCACCTCTCCTAGAAGAACTTGCTCTTTGCTGGGGAGGAGCTGACGGAGATGGATGCGTCGGGTTTTGTGTACCATTTGATGGCATTCCCTCTTCACCAACCTCAGGAGTTAGCTCATCAATAGAAGATCCTGATGAAGAGTCATCGTCATTACTTGTGATATCGACGACGTGCTCACGATTATTGTGGGTTTCATGCTCCATTAACAAAGGATCTTGATCAGTTTGGCTTCTAGTTCGTCCAATGGAAGAAACATCCATCTAAATCCAATTGGAAAACTAAAACCAGCAGCTACACCTTTCCGATTCTCAGCAATTTTCTCGACATTCGTCTAATCACTTGTGTTCATCAAACAAAAAAAAGCTATGACAATTCCAATCCAACTCGTAACACACCAACACAATCTCCCTCAAAAACAAAAGCAATGTCTTGAACAAATGCTAAACATTCACCTGTTATACAACACAAAGTAAAACCATGAGCAAAGAAATTAGCTTTATGGGTTTTGGATTCGAACCAAAACAGAATAGATTCAGAAATAAGAGGCGATTATATGACTCTGCGAGAATTAACAGGTGCAGATCAAAATCCACAATTCAGGAATAGTATACATAGAAATGACCAAATTTCTGAGAAAAACCCTAACTCAATAACTTGAAGTAAGACCCACCACACAAGTTTGACTCTTTCAAACCCATCAAAATCTGATCTTGAAGAAAAACCCAAATTTTCAATTGTGCCATACAAAACAAAAACCATTAAAATTTACGATTTTCAACACACAAATTGGGCCCCAAATAGTTGCGAGGCAAGATCGAAGGAAACCAAAATACGAAGAAGAAGAAGAGTAAATATGTACAATGGTGAAATGATTACCAGAATTGAGAAAGCTTAGTAGACAATACAGAGAAGCTGCGAATAAGCACTTGTGTTCTTCTTACTAATGCACTTCTTCTTTTTCATTCTTCAGAGAAAGACAAAACAAAAAAATTATTTTTTCTCCAGCTTTTTGGCAGTAATTTGGGAGAGAGTGATGATTAGTTTTACTAAAATGATGATTATCGTTATGTCTTAAATGCTGACCGTTGGATCTTTGAGGGTTTCTATGTAATAATCTGATCGTACGGTCGTTTCTAACTCCTTCTTTGTGGCTTTTCGAATTTAGAAGGTGCGTTTTTGAGTTTAATACCTAATTTAGCAAATTTCTTTTACACAAACAATCTCTGAGGTACTGCTGCCAAACAAAATATATAGAAAAAATCTCAGAGGAAATTAAATTTGATAC